GCGGCGGCGGCGACTGCGGCACCGACTGCGACGACGACGACGACGACGGCGGCGGCGACGGCGGCAGCGGGCACGGCGACGGCGACGGCGACGTGCATGGCAGCGGCGACGGCTACGACGACGACGCCGCCGCCGACGACGACGAGGACGACGCCGACGCCGACGCCGACGCCGACGCCGACGCAGACGCCGACGAGGATGACGCCGACGCCGACGCCGACGCCGACGCCGACGCCGACGCAGACGCCGACGCCGACGCCGACGCCGACGCCGACGCCGACGCCGACGCCGACGCCGACGCCGACGCCGACGCCGACGCAGACGACGACGACGACGACGACGACGACGACGACGGCGACGACGGCGACGACGGCGACGGCGACGGCGACGGCGACGGCGACGGCGACGGCGACGACGACGACGACGACGACGACGACGACGACGACGACGACGACGACGACGACGACGACTGGGGATTCCCAGCTCCCGTATGCACCTATTGGGGATTCGGAGCTCTCGACGCACGCACAGCCGAGGCTACGGGCCCGACGTGGCCAGGCCTGCAAAAGATTGCAAACGGACACCAGTGTCAGCGATCATCGGTTCAGGGGATTGATCCTCGACTTCGGCTTGTGAAGGCCGGCTTCGGACTCCGGGGCCCCCAGAAGTCGATCCCGGACGGGAAACTGATCCGAATGCACCCTGGCAGGGGTCTGGGGACCGATTTTGAACCGATTTGGGACCGACTGTCGTCGTCGTCGTCGTCGTCGTCGTCGTCGTCGTCGCCGACCAGGAGGGGATTGCGAACCCCCCAATTCGCGGTGGCCCCGCTGACGGGCGCTGGCGCCCAAAGCCAGTGGACCTCGAAACAGCATCTCATCATGCTCTCCCTCCAGTGGACTTCCTCCTTCCATGCTCTTCCTGATCATCCTCCCCTCTTCCCCCGATGACGACGATGATGACGATGAGGAGGGTGGTGGTACTGATGATGACGGGCTCATCATGATCATCACCATCATCATCATCACCATCATCATCATTTTCTTCACCACCAACACCAACACCACCATCACCCTCCACACCATCGTCACAATCATCATCACCATCATCATCATCATCATCATCGCCCTCGTCCAATGCCATCACCATCGTCATGATCATCACCACCATCATCAGGATCCATCACCGCAGGGGGCTGATTTCCAAAGCCCCGTTGGCAGGAACAGAAGCCCCGTTGGCAGGAACAGACGTTAATGGAACAGATACATGACCAGTGACGGGTGGCGTTCCGATCCCAAGACTTTTTGAGAGTCGGGGGCGACGTCGGGGCGGTGCTGCGTATATGTGTTTACCCGTCTTCGCGGCGAGCAACAGAAAACGTATATACCAGGATCCCGTATACACAAGGATCCGCCCTCCTGTGCAAATCTCAGCGCAGGGCCGGAAACAACTTCGGTGTATAGAGTTCGGTTCCTTATCACCCGAGGTGAGGGCCTTGATCCTTGGATGGTCGAGGGAAGTCGGAGGCGGAGCCGGAGAATTCCAGAACCCCCTCGTTGCCAGAGACATCACGACAACATTTGATGGGGGGCCGTTCGCCAGATCGAGGTCAGACGCCTCGTCATGCTGGATGGGCGCAAGGCCGCCTCTCGCGCATCAGGTTTGAACGGGACCTCCCAAACGGCGTCACAGCGCGCCGCCCGCGCGCGTCCCCCACCGCGGCGACGGGGGACTCCTCCTCGGATTAAACTCGTTCTGTTTTGACGGACGTTGGTCCTTCCATGGTATTCCTTGGTATCCATCACTACCTGTTTCTTCTAAGTCGGCTTGGGCCCCCGAGATGCACGGCATCTCCCCCTTGGTGGTCCAACAGTTTCGAAGGGCGAGGAAGGCTCTGCTTGCCAGTGCGCGCCCGCGGCGGGGCATCTGCGCGACCGCGGCTGCCCAGACCCCGACGCCACGATTCCTTCAGAACGTCGACCCCCAGAGGTCTGGACCCGTTCCCCGGGTTATGATGTTCCAACCTGCTTTAGCCCTGATCATCAGAAATAATTTCGAGCACCAGAAAAAAAAACTACCGAAATTCAATGGTTTTCACGTGTCGGGCCCTGGGAGACACTCGCCCGACATTGTTTCGACACTGTTTCGACACTCTTTTGACACTTTTCCGGGTGCTCGAATTTATTTCTGGGATGTGTTCCTTAAGTAGGATGGGAGCGATATAATCCCCGGGACCGGTTCTCCCGAGTCGTTGCTTGACGGTCCCAAGGCCTGGCGAGGGCCCCTGGGTAGGAGGCCACGTGCGAGCCCTGACCCCCGCCACCCCACGATTTCTAACCGCGGGGGGGGGTCGCGTCGCTCGGGGCCCTGCCCCGCCACCCCCCGACTTCCGAGGGGCGACGTGGGGCCCACCTCGTTCGGGACCTCCCGAGCGACGTCAGCCCCCCCTCTGCCCTGTCAGAAAGTCGCGGGGCGGTGGGGGTCCGGGTTCGTGCGCGGCCTCCTGCAGAGGCCGAGAGCGGCGAATCCCCCCCCCCCCCGTCGTGATTGCTTTATGGCGCGAAGGGTTTGGACGCCCGAAATGGGTACGGAAACAATGGGTACAATGCCCAACAACAAATGATGTCCCAAACCAACAGCGGCCGCTGTTGGGCAGGCGGCCCTCTGTCTCGAATGGACACAGGCCGCGGCGGCGTGGACAACGAATCCTGTTCAAAATGAACAGGAACTGCTGTTGGGCATCGTACCCATTCTTTCCGTGCCCATCTCGGGCGTCCAGAAAGGGTCTGGGCACCAGGATTGGCTCCGGGGGCCGGCCGCGCGCAGACGGGGGTCACAGGGGGCGGGGGGTTTCTTAGAAGCACCCCTGCTTCTTAGAAGGCGCGGGCCTCATCTGCGGGCGTAGGGCCGGCGCTTCTAAGCAGCAGCCTCCTTCTGAGAAGCCCCCCTCCTCCCCCTCCTCCTCCTCCTCCTCCTCCTCCTCCTCCTCCTCCTCCTCCTCCTCCTCCTCCTCCTCCTCCTCCTCCTCCTCCTCCTCCTCCCCCTACCACCTTGCGCGCGCCGCCAAGGGGGCGGCGGGGTCCCTGCGAGCACGCGCGCGCTCGGAGGCCTGTCAGAGCCCGGCTTCGTCGCGGCGTGCTCTTCGCTGCCCCTCGCGGGGCCGAATCGTCGACTCCCAGGAAACGATCGGGAAAGATGGGGAGGGGGGGGGAGGCGAAGACCCAGAAAGCATCGGAAACCATGGGGCGTCCTGGGACCCGTGCTTATTCATGTGTCTGTGTCTAAGGGCCCCTGCATGAAGCTCAGGCGGGTCCCGTCAGGGTCCCGCCTCGGCTCGGGTTCCCGGGATCTTGCCAAGGTCCCGCATGAGTCCCATGCGGTTTGGCCGGAAGGGGCCTGCTGCTGTGTTGTGCTCGGCCTGCGGCCACTCTGCCTCGACGCCCAAGCTTGATGGGCAACCTCGTCCCGTGAGTTGTGAGGCCGTGCGTTGTGGAGACCAGCCGTCGGTCAAAGCACAGCACGCGTCCCCAGTGAGACTCAGGAAGGGCCCCCCCTCCCAGGCGTGCCGTCAGCTGCCGGGGCAGCGGCCCTATCGGCGAGGGTGGCAGTGCGGCACGGCGCCGCCCACGCCTCGGCCCCCTGTTCTGGTTTGGGGGCGGCGGATCTCCCTTTCCTCTGTTGTCAGCCTGGCGCGCAATCCCTGCCTCCTCCTCCTCCTCCTCCTCCTCCTCTTCCTCATGATTCTCCTCCTCCTCCTCCTCCTTTTCATCCTCGTCTTGTCCTCCTCCTCCCTCCCCCCCTCCGCGTTGTCTCGTCCTCCCCCTCTTGGAATGCGCGCTCGGGATAGAGTTCAAAGAGCATCGGTGCTCGTCTCCTCTCTTTTGTTGCGTTGACCTGCTCTCTATTCTGGGGACATGTCTTCCCGTGTCCGCCCTATCCTTGCTGGCCACTGTGAATCCTCCTCTCCCTCCCCCTCTTCCTCCCTCCCCTCCTCATCCTCATCCTCTTCATCATCAACAGCATCATCATCAGCAGCAGCGGGATAGAGTTCAAAGAGCATCGGTGCTCGTCTCCTCTCTTTTGTTGCGTTGACCTGCTCTCTATTCTGGGGACATGTCTTCCCGTGTCCGCCCTATCCTTGCTGGCCACTGTGAATCCTCCTCTCCCTCCCCCTCTTCCTCCCTCCCCTCCTCATCCTCATCATCATCATCATCATCAGCATCATCATCAGCAGCAGCATCATCATCACCCTACTCCTCACCCTCCCCCTCGTCCTCCTCCTCCTCCTCCTCGTCCTCCTCCTCCTCCTCCTCCTTTCCTCCCCACCCTCCTCACTGAATCCGGTGCGCTCTTTCACCTGAGCCTGGGGCCAGATGCAGCCCCCTAGACGCCCGACACGGAGACAAAAGGGTCGTTGGTTCTGCGGCCGCGGTGGGCAATCGCGCGGCGGTCGAAGCGGCCACCGGGCTTGCGCATGCAGGGGGCGGAGCGGAGGGAGAGGAGCGGGCGGCCGTGGGGAGGAAAAGCAGCAGGGGCACACTCAGAACGGGAACAGTCCTTCGTCCGCAGCAGAGTCGGCCCAAGGATCCGACTTTCTGATTTTTGTTGGGGTACGGGCCCCCCAGAATCATGGGACAAAGAGCAGTATAACATAAACTTCTCTGCCGTCGGGGACGCCCGCCCCAGGGCGGCTGGAAAGTCTATACCCCACGGCATGCAGCCGCCATGGGGCAGGCGTCCCCGACGGCAGAAAAGTATATATGTTATACCGCTCTGCGCCTGCTCACAGAACTCCAGACCCGTTCCCCAGGGCGGGTTTCTCGCCCGGGGTCGTTTTTGAACTGTCCCGGGGGCCCCGGCGGGGGCCCCCCGAGGCCGAACGCTGGCGCAGACCGTCGGTCTCAATTTCTTGCACGCCGTCGGCACGTGCTCGAAGCAGGGAAGAATACACAAAAGACGAGTCGGCGAAGCATGCTGTCCTCCTCCCCCCCTTCGCCGAGGAGCTGCGCCTGCCGCAGTCCCTGGTGGAGGACGTGCAGGCCTCGTGGACCACGTACCTGCGCTCCGCGGAGTCCCGCGAGGCGGCGGGCGAGGCGGTCCGCCGACGCCGCCGCAACCGCCGCCGCCGCCGACGACGACTACGACGGCGCCGCTGCCGCCGCCGACGACTACGACGGCGCCGCCGCCGACGACGACGACGACGACGACCGACGACGCCGACGACGCCGACGCCGACGCCGCCGCCGCCGACGACGACGACGACGACGACGACGACGAGGACGATAGAGCAAGTCTCCGAGACGTACCCAACCGTATCTCCACGCAAGTCGATTATCCCAACCCTCGTGCGTTGGGCACTCGTTTTGAATAGAGCACTGCGGTCGCGACCTTCCTTCCCGCCCCCGTCTTCTCTCTTCCCTGCTGCCTCTTGCCTCGTTCTATCCTGCCAGCCAGTTTGCCTCCGACGTGGTCATCATTAGGGGGCTGCGATCCGCGAAGCTGCCACCATTTTCGAGGGCTGCTGGGGATCCAGCGGAGTGAGGCACCACCCAGACTTAGATTAGACATCGCCATCCCTGTGGGGCTGCGATCGTCACTTTCGAGGGCTGCTGGGGAGTTCAGCCGAGCGAGGCACCACCCAGACTCAGACTGGACCTCGCCATCCCTGGGGGGCTGCGATCTGCGAAATTGTCGCAACTTTCGAAGGTTGCTGTGGGGTTCAACGGAGTGTGGCACCATCCAGACTCAGATTTGACCTCGCCGTCCCTGGGCGGCTGCGATCTGCGAAATTGTCGCAACTTTCGAAGGTTGCTGTGGGGTTCAACGGAGTGTGGCACCATCCAGACTCAGATTTGACCTCGCCGTCCCTGGGCGGCTGCGATCTGCGAAATTGTCGCCACTTTCGAGGGCTGCTGGGGAGTGCAGCGGAGTGGCGCCTTACGCGGACCACCAGGGGACCTCGCCATCCCTGCAGGGCTGCGATCTGCGAAATTGTCGCAACTTTCGAAGGCTGCTGGGGTGTCCAGCGGAGTGGCGTCTTACGCGGATCCCCAGGAGACCTCGCCATCCCTGTGGGGCTGCGATCCGCGAGATTGTCGCAACGTTCGAGGGTTGTTGGGGGATTCAGCGGAGTGAGGCACCACCAAGACTCAGATTAGACCTCGCCATCCTTGGGGGGCTGCGATTAGCGAAACTGTCGCCACTTTCGAGGGCTGCTGGGGGATTTGGCGGAGTGAGGCACCACCCAGACTCAGATTTGACCTCGCCGTCCCTGGGTGGCTGCGATCTGCGAAATTGTCGCCACTTTCGAGGGCTGCTGGGGGTTCCAGCGGGGCGCTGTCGCGGGCCCCCCACAGACCGGGCGGCGCGCCTGCGAGCGTTAGCTCCTGCATTGAATGGCGGGCGAGCTAGGCCTTGCTCGCTTTTTGCACTATGTATAAGCCGGTTAAATCATTTGATCGAGCGCCGCAGCGACATGGCGCAATCAACGCTGCATATTTAGCGTGCGACCGACAATAGCAACACTCTTCGGTGCCTCCTCCCGTCACTTTCGTCGTCGTCCTCTGCCCCCTGCCACCATCCCTCTGCTGCAGCCGCGGTGACGGGTCGGCCCCCCGCGCGTCCTTCTCTGTTTGCCTTCCGTTACCGCCACCATGTTCTCCTCAAGCCTGGGCCCCCGCTCCTCGTTCTTCTGTTGTTGTCCGGTGAACCGTGCCACGTAAGCGCATCCCGTGTAGTTTGCACAGCATATAACGGCGCCTGCATTGTCATTGTTCGGGCAAGTTTGGGCCAACTCCTCTTGTCACTTGACGCAAATCCGCATGGTATGTCACAGGGTAATTTTTCGCACGCCCCATACACAAACACATGTGAAATCCGTTGCCGAACACTGTGGGGCCAGGCGCGTTGCGCACTTCCGTAGGAATGGACCACTGTGGACAGCGCCATGCGCTACGTGACGTTCCGGCGCTCCGCGCTCTGTGATGCAACAGCGTCGCGCGCTAAATGGCGCGACGGCGTCACGCGCCATTTGGGCACGTTCCATAATATGGGTGCCCAACATCCCGCCGTGCCATCCACGAACCCACGAAAGTGGCGACGGCTGCGCATTTCGCAGGCCCCAAAAAGGAGCCGCGAGGTCTTAAATGATTTTTGCGATGCCCTCACTGCCGCCGTGCTTCCCAGGAGCCCGTGACACCGGGGACGGCTGCTTAGTTCGCAGACCCGAGAAGCTGCGAGGCCTCAGAGTGATCAGCGCTGCCCGCACCTCCGGCGCGCCTCCCAGGAGATCACGAAAGTGGGCACAGGTGCGCAATCCGCAGCCACCCATTGGGCCGCACTTCTCGGATTGATTCGCGCTGCCCACAAGTGATGGACCCCCCAGGAGCCCACGACAGTGGCGACAAGTTCGCGCAGCTCGTAGCCATTCAGGGAGCCGAGACGTCTCGCCTGGATGCGCGTGATCCTCCGCTCCGCTGGACCTCCCACGAACCCACGGCTGACAGCTGCACAATTCGCAGCCACCCAAGGGACCGCGAGGTCTCGTTTGGATGCGCGTTTACATCCAGCCCGATTGACCTCCCAGAAGCCAGCGACAAAGGCGACAGGTGCGTAGATCGCAGCCACCCTAAGAAACGCGACGTCTCGTCTGGATGCGCGTGCAGTTCCATTCCTGTCGACTCCCCAGGAGCCTACGAAAGTGGCGACTGCTTCACAGTTCGCAGCCAACCAGGGAGCCGCGACGTCTCGTCTGGATGCGCGTGCGCCTCCAGTGCGTTGGACCGTCCAGCAGCCCACGACTGCGGCGACAGCTGCGCAAGTCGCAGCTACCCAAGGAGCCGCAACGTCTAATCTGGAGTCTGGATGCGTGTACACCACCCCGTTGGATTTCCCAGGAGCCCACGACAGTGGCGACAGTTGTGCAATTCGCAGCCACCCAGGGAACCGCGAAGTCTCTCCGCTGGACTTCCCGCAAGCCCACGAAAGTGGCAGCAGTTGCGCAGTTCGCAGCCTCCCTGGGAACAGGGCGGGGGGAAGGGCTGGGGAGGAGGAGCAGAAGGAGGACAAGGAGGGAGGAGGAGGACCAGTGCAAACCCAAGAACCATCAACGATGTTGGAATTAACCCTCCTGCAAAGCTCGCTCTTCATAGGCCCGTTAAAACGGGTCATCTCAATTGAGGGAACTGGCTTGTTGGAAGACAACAGTTTGAAGATCCCGAAGCGTGCCAAAACATTGCTTTCGGGATTTCAACGCCACGTATAAACCGGACTGCTGCGTCTCGACGATCCAGAACCGTGCCACAACGCCATGCTTGGGATTTCGACGCAGCGAATCAGCATAATTGTTGCGCCCGCATAATCCTGAATCTTTCCAGAACGCAACTCAAAAAAAAACAAATGCGCGGGGCGCCCAAGCCAGAGCCACATGTTAAAAACGATCCGCAATCCTTGAAACTGTTGCAAATGTCGAAAACGAATGCGCGCGGCGCTAAAGCGATAGTCACATTTTGAAAAACGACCCGCCCTCAATCCGTGAAGTTCTTGCACATGCTTGAAACGGGCACTTAGGCGAGAGCCACATCTTTCGAATACCACCCGCCCTCAATCCGTGAAACTCTTGCAAATTTTAAACAGCGAATGTGCGCGGCGCTAATGCGAGAGCCACATTTTGAAAACGACCCGCCCTCAATCCGCGAAGCTCTTGCAAACGTCTCAAACGAATGTGCGCGGCGCTAAGACGAGAGTCTCATGTTGAAAACCACCCGCCCTCACTCCGTGACGCTCTTGCACATGTGTAAAACGAATGCGCGCTGCGCTAGGGCGAGAGCACCATTTTGAAAACAGGCAGCCCTCCATCTGTGAAGCTGCTGTCATTTTTTAAATGACGAAGTCCCAGGTGAAGTCTCAGGCGAAACGCCCAGCCCGCCCTAAAAACTGGCCTCGGGGTGCGACAGGGAAGAGTTATCTATAAGGAGAAGGAATGGAGGAGGAAAAGGAGGAAAAGGAGGAGGAGGAAGAGGAGGAGGAGGAGGAGGAGGAGGAGGAGGAGTGGAGACCACAGCGCTCGATTCAAAACGAGAGCCCAAGCACAGGAGGGCTGGGACAAAACGCCGCGCTGGAGGCTGTTCCCCACCATGCTGACTTCTGGCTTAGGGGGGGCCCGTGTCGGGCCCTTGGGCCGTCGGAGATCGGGGCGAGCGGGGGCCAGAAGGTGGGCCCGGGGGCGGGGGAGTGAGCAGGACGGCCTCGGGCGGCCCTTTTCTGGGTCTGACATGGGGAGCGGTTTCGGCGACCCTGGTGTTCCTCCTCCTCCTTCTCCTCCTCCTCCTTGTCCTCCTCCTCTTCCTCCTCCTCCTCCTCCTCCTCCTCCTCCTCCTCCTCCTTCCTTTCCTGCTTCTCGTTTTTTTCTGATCCTCTTCTCCTACGCCTTCTGCACATCCGCTTGCTGCTCCTCCTTTTTCCTCCTCCTTCTCCTCCCCCTCGTCCCCCATTCCTTCTCTTTATGAATAACTCCTCCCTGTCACACCACGAGGCCGGTCGTCAGTGCGGGCTGGGCGCTTCGTCTGAGACCACTTCACCACCCATGACCTTGAATCGTAAGAGTTGGCACCAGCTTCACAGATGGAGGGCGGGTGGTTTTCGCAATGGGGATCTCTCCTTAGCACAGCGCAGATTGTTTGAAACATGTGCAAGAGCTTCACGCATTGAGGACAGGTCGTTTTCAAACTGTGGCTCTCGCCTCAGCGCCGCGCACATTCGTTTTAACAAAAAGTGCAGGAGCCTCACGGATTGAAGGCGGGTCGCTTTCAAAATGCGGTTCTCGTTTACCGCCGCGCATTTTTTTGTTTGCGGGAGCTTCACGGATTGAGGGCGATTGTTTTTCAAAGTGTGGTTCTCGCCTTAGCGCCGTGCGCACTCATTTCAAACAGTTGCAAGCGTTTTGCGGATTCTCATTGATAACGTGCCAGAAACGGTGTTTTGGAACGATTCTGGATATGGCAAGGGGCAACAGTTACGTTGATTGGTTGGTGCTGAAGTCCCAGGAATAGCGTGCTGGGGCGATTCAAAATCGTCAAGACGCAACAGTCGGGTTAACACGTGGCGTTGAAGTCCTGAGAATGGTGTTTTGGCACACTACAGGATTTTCAAACAGTTGTCCCCCAACGGGGCAATTCCCTCAGTGGAAATCGACCTTTGCAGGGACCTATGAGGAGGGAGCTTGGAGAGGGCGCATTCCAACATCACTGATGATTCTTGGGTTTGCACTCGTCCTCCTCCTCCTCCTCCTCCTCCTCCGCCTCCTCCTTATCCTTTCTGATCCTCCTCTCCTCGGCCTCCTGCGCATCCGCCTGATGGTGGTCGTCCTCCTTCCTAGGCACAGAACCCCCTCTTCCCGATTGCGCACCAAGCGATGGGTCAGAGGCGGCTCGCGCCATTGTGGGCCTCCCCCTCGTCTCCGTGGTCGGACTGGCTTCGAGACCCTTGATGGCCAGAAGGCGACAGAGGAGAGGCCAGGACGACGACGACGACGACGACGACGACGACGACGACGACAACGACGACGGATGCGGCGGCGGGGACGGCGACGGCGACGGCAACGGCGGCGGCGACGGCGATGGCGACGGCGACGGCGACGGCGAGGGCGAGGGCGACGGTGGTGGCTACGGCGAAGGCGACGGCGACGGCGAAGGCGAAGGCGAAGGCGACGAAGACGGAGACGGCGACAGTGGCGGCGGCGGTGGCGACGGCGACGGCGACGTCGACGGCGGCGGCGGAGCGGAAGGCGAAGGCGAAGGCGAAGGCGACGACGACGGAGACGGCGACGGTGGCGGCGGCGGTGGCGACGGTGACGGCGACGGCGACGGCGACGGCGACGATGGCCGCGACGGCGGCGACGACGATGACGGCGAGGCGATTTACGCCGCCATATTCGACTCCGCACCCAGCCTGCAGAGCCTGTTCAAGACGCCGCGAGCAGTGATGGCCATGCGGCTCTAGGGAGGGGGAGGCGTAAAAGTGAGGAAGCGGAGCGGGCCTATCCGCGAGTTGATGTCGATGAATATGCAGGGGCCGCTCTGGCTCAATGCATTCGGGCGGCCGCTTAAATTGCCCCCGTGGCTGTCCATACGTGGTGTGCTGTACTTCCTCCACGTAGCATTGCACGCGTCTCCTGGTGTCTGTATGTGTGTTTCGCGCACTTCCGCCCCTTATGTCATGCCTGTGGCGCGCGCAATCCGAGGCAAAGGTAACACATTCCCACTAGCCTCACCGTGCTGCTGGGATGTCGCATCTCCCTTTCCTCCCCCAGCCGAGGAGAAAAAAGAGGAGGGGGGTACTGAAGTGTCTGCCTCTGTGGGAGGCCCCCAGGCGTCGGCCCCGGCCCCGCCTTTCGACGAGGACCAGTGGCAACACAGCAGAGCCTCCGAGAAGCAGGAAGGCGGTAAGGGTAGACTGGGCTTCGGCCCACCCCAGAAGTGGGCGTGCTACGGCAGAACAGGCGCATGCCCCGAGGCTTGGCGTGCTGCAGCGCCGTGGCCAGGGGCAGGGGCCGCCGCCGGCGCCCCGAGGGGGGAAGGGGGCCTGCGGCGGCCTCTTCGGGGCGGGGTCCGCGCTGCGCACCGGTGCTGGAGACCTTTCCCCACGCACGAAAGGACGGGGAAAACGGCGACGACGACGACGACGACGACGACGTCGACGACGACGGCGGCGACGACGACGGCGGCGGCGGCGGCGACGACGACGACGACGGCGAGGCCACTCACTCTAATGAAGCAAGTGGGTCCAGGATCCGAAAACTCGGAGCCACCGACGGCAGCTCGGTCTGCAAGAGTTCTGCCACGACGCGGCGCGAGGATGTTCCATCGGGCCGCCGAAGGGCTCGGTCAGGAAGCCTACGTAAGATCTTCGAGGAGGACGCAGGAGCCTGCGCATGCTCGAAGCAAGGGCGGTGTCCCAGTGACCGGGTGGGCGTAGGCCGCAACACCGCCTGAGTTTCTTCGCGTTGGGGATGTGGTGCTGTGGCGGGCGTCTGCGGGCAGGGCGCTAGCCAGGGCCGGCCTGGTGCTCCTCGATTTCGCCCTTCCGATCGCTGCCGGCGTCGAACGTGCTACCCCCGCGCGAATGTTGTGTCGCCGCGCCGTTTGTTCCGGCGCGCGGCCTTCAGTCTTGGAAAGGGCACCGCGGCCACCAGGGCAAACGCCACCTCGGGCTCGGTGGGCTTGCCGTGGGGTTTGCCGCGGCGCCGGCGTCGTTTGCTTGGGCGCGGGGCGCAGGTGCTGCCCTGGATTTGCCGCGGTGTCGGCGTCGTCCACTCGGGCTCGTCAAGGATCACGTTGCATCTTCGGGGGACCTCGTCTGTCCCCATCCTTTGTGTCTTTTCTTGTACCCGACCCGGATTTGGCGTGGATCCGACGCGGGATTCGACACGGATCCGACGAGTCCGACGTGGATTCGACACGGATTCGACGCGGGTAGGGCCGCGACGGGACAGACAAGGTCCCCCGAGGATGCAACATAACAAGGACAAGCGGCGCGGCGACATGTGTACGGTCAGGAACTTGGGCTCAGCGCGTCGCTCCGCCAGTCCACCCCCACTGGGGCCTTCGGTAGAGCTCCCTGTGGGACCACGAAACGCTGCCCTGGGTGGGGGAACCGCATGCGCCCACCCCCACTGGAGCTTTCGGTGGAGCTCCCTGTGGGGCCACGAAACGCTGCCCTGGGTGGGGGAACCGCATGCGCCCACCCCCACTGAGACCTTCGGTGGAGCTCCCTATAGGGCCAGCCCACCACGCTTCGGCGCGACACGTTATCCGCATCCTCACTCCCAAGCGTCCACGTCCCGAGCCCATCCCAGCCTCCCGCCCCGCGGGGCGGAGCGACACGCTACCCGCCTGCCAGGCCTGGCGTGTCGCTGGGGCCGCCGCCGCGGCACGCCAAGCACACGCTCCTGACAGTAATGATGTGCGGGCGCGCGGGCGGGCGCGCATGTCCGTGCCCCAGCGCGCCTCCGACGCACGCAGCGCAGCACGTCGGCATCGGCTGCCCAGGCGCTCGAGCGCGGCGTGCTGGCGTGCCTGGTCCCCCCGCCCCCAGAGTGCAGAGGAGCGTGCGCGGGCGACGGCACGCGGCGCGCGCCCCCCGCAGGTTCATGAACGGGCTCAACACGATCATCAGCCAGCTGCAGGATCCCAAGGCCATGAAGATCACGGTCGAGACCCTGGGCTTCCAGCACCTCGACCTGGAGGTGACCGTGCCCCGAGTGGTCATGTTCCGGGACGCGATCGTGGACCTGCTGCAGGTGGAGCTGGGCGCGCAGCTGTCCCGCGCCGCGCACTCGGGCCGCCAAGGGGCACCAACGACCCCCTGGCACCAGACCATGCCAATCCAACCCTGACTTCGGATCCGCCGTGCTTTGGCTGATCTTCCAATTTGAACTTGCGCAGGAATTGCAACCCAGACGATGCTACAAACGAGGGTGGAAATTTCCGCCTCAGATAAGTAGGGCGGATATTGAGAAGGCCTTACGATAGGTGCCGCCGACCCAAAAGGACGACAACAACAACGACAACAACAACGACGACGACGACGACGACGACGACGACAACGACGAGCTGATGACCCTGCCACAGGCTCGGGACATGGGGCAGGCGGTGAATGGAGGAGGAGAAGGAAGAGGAGGAGGAGGAGGAGGAGGAGAAGGAGGAAGAGGATGAGGCGGAGGAGGAGGAGGCGGAGGAGGAGGCGGAGGAGGATGAGGGGAGGAGGAGGGGAGGAGAGGAGGAGGAGGAGGAGGAGCAGGAGGAGGAGGAGGAGGAGGAGGAGGAGGAGGAGGAGGAGGAGGAGGGGAGGAGGAGGGAGGGCGGAGGAGGGAGGGGGGGAGGAGGAGGGAGAGGGAGAGGAGGAGGAGGAGGAGGAGAGGAGGAGGAGGAGGAGGAGGAGGAGGAGGAGGAGGAGGAGGGGGAGGAGGAGGAGGAGGAGGAGGAGAGGAGGAGGAGGAGGAGGATAGCCGTCTGTCTCCTAGGGGGCGGGCGTCTGGGTGGCGAAAACCAAAGGGGAAAGCCCCCAGCGAGGATCACAACCCCCGGGACCCGGGACCCCCTGAAGCTACCCCCCGGGACCATCCCCGGGCCCCCCCCCCCCGCGGGAAAGGGACAAAGGGAAGGGGTTCCCTCCGATGTAACTACGACATTGTTCGGTCCCGTCCCCCTTGTTTGTTCGATCTCCCTTTCGACGACGACGAGTCAAAGAAGGCTGGCGTACTTCAGTTTGGGTTGGGCTGGCCTCGCGTCGAAGGGCCTCTCACACACACACACACCGACTGGGTCGGCGGATTTCCAGTAGGGCACAAACAGCGACGGCAGAGTAGGGCGGAAATCAGCATCAAAGGAGCTTGGAAAGTATGGTGGCAGTTTCCGCCTTCATTGCGACAACCCCTCAAAGTACGACGGATCCGAAGTCCGGTGCGCACACACCCCTAAGTTCGCGGTGGTCCTGGTCAGATTTAGCATTGCCGCACGGTTCGAAGCATCCCAGGCTGGGACACCGTGTTGAATTACGTGGGCGGGGCGTACATCTACGTCCGTATAAAATACACCGACCGCCTCAAGATCATCGCATCGAGCTGGGCCACGGCCAACAACACCAAAGGGGACGAGGAGCTGGTCGACGACGGCGAGGCGGAGGCCGAGGAGCTGGGAGCAAGACGAGTGCGTCGGCCCTACCTCCTCGGCAGAAGGGGGAGGGAGGAGAAGGACCATTACCAGCCTGGAGCATATCCCTATCCCTATGCTGGGCACCTCCTCATCACGATGCCAATCTTAGGGTTTCCCTTATTTTTTGAGGGCGAATCCCTAAGATTGTCATCGCCTTTTGGCGTGTCAATCTTAGGGATAGGGATACGTTCGAGGCTGGTAAGACCAGAGGGAAGAGGGGGTGGAGGACGTTCTCGCCGTCGCGAAGGGGCAGGGGGCGAGGAGGGTCTCGCTGGCTCTCGAGGGTACTCTCGCCTCGGGAGGCCTTACAGCGGCCGCGCCCGGTCGAGGGCTTTCCGGGCCCCCGCCCGGATCATCACGAGCGTCCAACGGGGGCGGAAAAGAGGGGGGTGATGATTAGGGGGGGGTGGATATCATGGCGTGGGCCATGATATTTCCCCAGATCTCATGGCGCCTCTTCTTATTTCATTACGTCCCTGGCCCCCCCGCTGGGCCGCGCACATGCCGCCCGTCATGATTTGCACCCCCCCCCCTCTTGGACACCCCCCTCTTGGCCGCTCCCAAGATCATCACGAGCGTCCGCCGGGGCGGCCCGCGTTCTGGCACGGAGAAACAGCAGGAGGCGTGAGGGGCTGAGGGCGGGGCAGACGACTCCGAGTGGCATACAAAGGGGCTTGGCATCGCTCGGACGTGTGCATGCTTCCTTCGGCGGGGAGCATCGAAGAGCATCCTTGATCATCTGGCGAAAACACCCCGCACGGAACTGAAAAAAGCACAGGGGATGGACGTCCGAGCGATGGCGAGAGGGGGGTCTGGCTTGGGGAGGGGGTCTGGTTCGAGCTGTCTCGGAGGGCCCGGCGGGACTGGGCAAAAGGTCGCCCTTTCATGACTGGTTTCCGGGGGGTCGAACATTGCTCGCTTGGGAGGTTGGTGACCCCCCTATTCAGGTATGGTGAATTCGGAGTACAGTGGAAACCCATGCCAAGAAACACCCTGCTTGCGGCCAGGGTGCACTGGGTTTCTTAGGTTTCGATGGTTTTGCTATGGTAAGACGTTCGCACACCAAACATCAATTGACGTCCTGGGGTCTCAGGGTTGGGTTTCTTGTGGAAGGTTTCTTGTGGACGGGCCCCAACTGCAGTCTTGCTATCCCCCGAGGAGGCAGGTCAGGGAGCCGTCTCCGGCTCCGCGGAGGCCATCCGCGCAGAGGAGAAGGCCAAGAAGGAGGCCGCGGCCAGGAAGGAGGCGGAGGCGGCCAAGAAGAAGAAGAGGAGGGCGGCTGGCTGGTTCTCCGGCGGCGTGAAGGACATCGAGGAGACCCGGGCGCGAACGAAACGGTACTCTGGCGATTTCGCGGACCGCTTTCGGTTTGACTTCACTGTGCTGCACACGCTCAGAGGAGGAAAAGGCACCCGTACCTCTACCCTTCGCCTGGCTTTCTCTGTCTGGGCCTCCTGGGAGGCCCTCGTCGCCACCGCTGGACTCGCCTCGGAATCCTGGTCAGAACGCACCCCAGGAGAGGTCCGGGGAGTAGCGGCATCCGTGCCTTTGGTTTCCCCAAACACAGAGCGACGAGACGAGACGAGGGGAACACGAACGCAGCACGAAAACACGAAACGCACCGTTTCGCTCGAGCCCTGGAGGAGACGGTGCATGGGAAGGGGCAGGAAAGGAACAGCGAGTCAGAGGGCAGCAGTTTCAAGAACACGTCCGTGCCGACGACATACACCGAGATGTTTGCCTTCAACGCGGCCGTCATGGGCTTCGGGCAGAACCTGTGGATGAACGAGGTCCTCGCTTCGTTCGACACCATCGTGACGAACGTATCGAACTCATACCGCCTGCAGGAGGAGCGCGAGGGCTTGCGTGACCCCGCCACCGAGGGATGCTTTTCCAGGCCTTCCTGTGGTGCTGGGTCCTCGTTTTGAAGAGACATCGTCGCGCGTCTCCTTCCTCCCGCTGCCCCTCCTCTCCTCCGCCGGCTCCTCCCTCCTCCCATCCCTGACGGCCCCCGCATGCAGTTCCACCCACATCTCGGCACACCCCTCGCACGCTCCGTGGCCCCTTATAGGGAGCTCCACCGAAGGACCCAGTGGCAGCCCCCACATGCAGTTCCACCCTGCATGTCGGTGCACCCCTGACACGCTTCGTGGTCCCATAGGGAGCTCCACCTGAGGCTCCAGCGGCAGCGCCCGCATGCGATTCCACCCGCCATGTCGGTGCACCCCTGTCACGCTTCGTGGCCCCATAGGGAGCCCCACCGAAGGCCTTAGTGGCAGCGCCCGCATGCAGTTCCAACCTCCAGTGTGGCACACCCCTCGCACGCTTCGTGGCCCATAGGAAGCTCCACCGAAGGACCCAGAGGCAGCGCTCGCATGCAGTTCCACCCTCCTCCCCTATGTCGGTGCACCTCTGGCACGCTTCGTGGCCCCACAGGGGGCCCCGCCGAAGGACCCAGTGGCAGCGCCCGCATGCGATTCCATCCTGCATGTCCGTGCACCTCTCACGCGTTTCGTGGTCCCACACGGAGCTCCACCTAAGGCCCCAGTGGCTGCGCCCGCATGCAGTTCCACCCGCAATTTCAGTGCACCGCTCACACGCTTCGTGGCCCCACATGGAGCCCCACCGAAGGCCCCAGTAGCAGCGCCCACATGCAGTTATTTAATCGCTTCGCTCATTCCGCCGGCCCTCGAGCGCTCTATGGGGCCTCTTTGAAGCCTCTTTGGGGCCTCCTAGGGGCCTCCTAGGGGCCTCTTGGGGGCCTCTTGGGGGTCTCCTGGGGCTCCTTGGCGGCGTCTTGGGGCCCCCTTGGGCCTCTTGGGGGGCTCTTGGGGGCCTCTTGGGGCGGGGTAGTCGAGTGCACCCCCCTCGGAGGCCACAATCCTCGTGAGGGGTGTCGAAAAAAGGCTTTCAAAACCATCTCTGAGTAGACCTTCCCGGGCTGCGGTCGGGGTACGTTTCGCCGGGGGACCCCTGGGGGCCGCCCCGCGCGCGCGAACTAGAAGAATTGTTAACCAGTTACCCGAGATCTTAGCACGCCTCTGGCCCGTTGGGCCAGCGAATTACCTCCAGTCTGGCGCACCCATTTCACGCGTCGTGGCCCCATAGGGAGCTCCACCTGAGGCTCCAGCGGCAGCGCCCGCATGCAATTCTACCCCCATTTCGGTGCAACTCTCGCAAGCTTCGTGACCCCAGAGGCAGCCCCACCGAAGGCCTTAGTGGCAGTGCCCGCATGCGGTTCCACCCTCTATTTCGGCACGCTCCTCACACGTTTCGTGGCCCCAGAGGAGCTCCACATGGGCCCTAGTGGCAGCGCCCGCATGCGATTCTACCCCCCATTTCGGCGAACTTCTGACACGCTTCGTGGCCCCATAAGGTGCTCCACCGAAGGTCTAGTGGCCCCTGTTGCTAGCCCCCCTCCTTCATTGCATTGCCCTCGCGATGCTCGAAGGCCCCAGTGGCAGCGCCCGCAAGGCGGCCCCGTCACATTCTGGCACACCCTTCACTCGCTTCGAGGCCCCATAAGGAGATCCACCGAAGGCGATACTCACAAAGACGGTACTCACAACTGCATATTGTTGGGTCTGTCGCCAGGCTAATGTTGTATGCTATCTTCCCATCAGACCCTTCTGGCCCTGCCTCCTACCCATCGTCCTGTTCATCTTACCCCGTCTTTCCTCCTTCCCTTATTCCTCCCCCCTGATCCTCCTGCCTCCCTCCTCCTGTCGCTTCCCTCCCTCGCCCACGAGAGAGAGAGAGAGGGTGAGAGGAGTGCGACGTACTGTCGCTGAAGATCGCGAAGTACAAGGGCACCGTGAACCTCTCGGAGTACAAGGCGGTCATGCTGGCATCCTTGCGATCCCTTGTGCCCAAGGACGATCGCCCCTGGATAGCAGAAGGAGGCCAGAGGAAGCAGGAGGAGGAGGAGGAGATGAGGAGGGGGGGAGGAGGAGGAGGAGGAGGAGAGGGAGGGAGGATGAGGAGAGGAGGAGGAGGGGAGGAGGAAGGGTGGATGACGCGGAAAAGAAAGAAAGTAGAACAGCAAGAGGAGGAGGCGGAGAGGAGGAGGAGGAGGAGGACGGATGAGAGGAGAGCGGATATGTATCGGGGACGGATGAGAAGAAGAGGAGGAGGAGGAGGGGAAGAGGGAGAAGGGGATAAGAATAAGGAGAGGAGGAGGAGGATGGTAGGAGGAGGATGTAAGGAGAGGAGGGGTAGGAGGAGGAGGAGAGGGAGTAGGAGGAGGAGGAGGGAGGATTTGGGCGAAAGGGAAGGAGGGGAGGAGGCAGATGAGGAGAAGAGGGAGGGAAGGGGAGGAGTCCCTCCCTGCTCCCCCTACCTCCTCCCCAACAGCCTCCCTACGATCCCTGCCTGAGACGGTCCGCCTCCCCCTCCTCCTCCTCCTCCTCCTCCTCCTCCTCCTCCTCCTCCTCCTCCTCCTCCTCCTCCTCCCTCCTCCCTCCTCCTCTCCCCTCCTCCTCCTCACTCCTCCTTCCTCCTCCTCCTCCTCCTCCTCCTCCTCCTGCTCCTTCATATCCTCCTCCTCCTTCCCCTCTCCTGCCTCCTCCTCCTCCTCCTCTCCTCCTCCCCTCCTCCGCCTCATCCTCTTCCTCCTCCTCCTGCTCCTCCTCCCCTCCTCCTCCTCCTTCTCCTCCTCCTCCTCCTTCTCCTCTCCCCCTCCTCCTCCTCCTCCTCCTCCTCCTCCTCCTCCTCCTCCTCCTCTTCCTCCCCCTTTTTCCCCTCTTGCTCTTGCTCCTCCTTCTCCACCTCCTGCTCCTCATCCTCTTCCTCCTTTCCTCCTCCTTCCTCTCTGCAGCTTCCCGTTTGATTAATCAATCTTCGCTGGGAAGAGCAAGCTCTGGAATGGGCGCGAAGCCGATATCTTGGGCACGCTTGGCGCGGTCGTGAGAAAGGCTCTTCTTGCCCGGCGTTTTCGCCTCGCCCTGGCACCTCAGGAAATCGTGCCTGGCCTTTGCGAGGCCCTCACCCGCGCTCGAAGCAGTGCCCCCCATCAGCCCCTCGGGAAGGCTCAGTCTCATTGCAGCACCTGTCGCGCGCGCGGAGGCCGGGCACAAGCATGGTTGGCGTGACTTTCACGGCTTTCCAGCTCGAAGCATTACCCTCTGCGGCGGAGGGCGCGCCACCAGTCGTGATGCTGCATTTGAGCGGGTCCCGGATGACCTCACTGCGCAGAGCATCATCGTCTGTTGCACATGTCTCGCCCACCCGTGGATGGCAAACACTGCGCCTGCCCAGGCGCGCGAGAGAACAGCCCTTCGCGGGGTGGAGCCAAAGCACCGACGGCAGACCAGACGACAGACAACGCCACAACCCACAAAAAACACCGGCGTGTAAGAGCCATGTTGTGCCACGCGAAGCGTGAACATCCTGCTCCCGCGGAGCATACTGGCGAATAAGCCAAGCGAGCTCTTGGCCACCAGGATTAGGCGCAGTATGCGAAGCAGAGAAGCCCCTCGAGGCCATGAGGAGAAGAGGGGAATCCGTAACGTACTTCCGTCATATTCTCCTGCTCCCCGAATTGCGACGCGATTTGGGAGCCAAGAGAGTCTTTCGTTCTGCCTCCCCCCCCCACTGCTTCTCCCGGCGGAGAGTAAAACTCGCCCCTTCTCTTTCTCCTGCTCCTCCTCCTCCTCCTCCTGCCTCCTCCTCCCTTCTCCGTCTCCTCCTCCTCCTCCTCCTCCTCCTCCTGCTCCTCCTCCTCGTCCTCCTGTTTTTCCTCGTCTCATTCCTCGGGAGGAGACGGAGGAGACGGAGGCGGGAGCTGGAGCGGGAGGACTCCTGGAGCGACCGCTCCAGGAGCCGCCTGGCTCTTCGCTGGAGCAACCCCCACGACCGGCCCCAGGGGCGGGAGGGCAGCATCCGCGGGATGCTCATGCCTTCAGGGATCAGGGATCATCGGGGCGAGGACCAGGAAGGATGACCATGAAGCTACGTTCGCAACCGCCGCCGCACAGCGTGCAGTAGGCGTTCCTCTGGGTGAGTTCGCGATCGCGAGACGTTCGACAAAACATTTAC